ATTAAATGAAGAGTTTGGACAGTTTTGAAAAGAATAAATAATCCTCCAAAAAGAGTCAAACTAATAGTCTCTACATTTTTCTTAAACAATATTCATTATAATTTACAATTATTACACTGTTGTTGAATTATTGAATAAAACAAAATTTCAATATACTGAAGTTTAAGTTTTATACTAATCAAAACTTAGTTCTCATCAATAGCTCTAGGGTAGATATTGGAAATCTTAAAGTGTAAAAAAAAAAAAAAAAAAAAAAATAAAACCAGCTCAGAAACACTGGTGCATTGTAAAGATAACTTAGAAAAATTTTGCATCTTTTTATCTCCTGAATTTATACTTTGGCACAGGTACTGGTGCAAATATTAATTGTTATCTATAAACTGGTTTTTATTAAAAAAAAAAAATACAAAATGCGAAGGATATTTTGTAGGATATTTTGGTTATTTTGTCATATTAATGACGGACTGATTTGCAACAGAAAATATCAATCTTAGTCAAGACAAAATGGAGGACAAAAGCCTTATATACCACTATAACTCATCTGTAATGATAAAGTTAGATAAACAACTTACACACTAAAAACATGAATTCGAGCTCAAAGCTGACATACATATGACATGTTTTACTGTTATCCTATTATATCCAACATCACAGCTGACATACATATGACATGTTTTACTGTTATCCTAATATATCCAACCTCACAGCTGACATACATATGACATGTTTTACTGTTATCCTAATATATCCAACCTCACAGCTGACATACATATGACATGTTTTACTGTTATCCTATCATATCCAACATCACAGCTGACATACATATGACATGTTTTACTGTTATCCTATTATATCCAACCTCACAGCTGACATACATATGACATGTTTTACTGTTATCCTAATATATCCAACCTCACAGCTGACATACTTATGACATGTTTTACTGTAATCCTAATATATCCAACCTCACAGCTGACATACATATGACATGTTTTACCGTAATCCTATTATATCCAACCTCAAAGCTGACATACATATGACGTGTTTTACAGTAATCCTAATATATCCAACCTCACAGCTGACATACATATGACATGTTTTACTATAATCCTATTATATCCAACCTCAAAGCTGACATACATATGAAATATTTTACTTTATGTTTTATCAGTTGTTCAAGGATTAACCCATCTGACAATACTGTTTTGTCAGTTGTTCAAGGATTAATCCATCTGACAATACTGTTTTGTCAGTTGTTCAAGGATTAATCCAACTGACAATACTGTTTTGTCAGTTGTTCAAGGATTAACCCATCTGACAATACTGTTTTGTCAGTTGTTCAAGGATTAACCCATCTGACAATACTGTTTTGTCAGTTGTTCAAAGATTAACCCATCTGACAATACTGTTTTGCAATTAATTTTCCATTTCTTCTTATCCTTTATCTGTTATCACATCTAACATAAATGACAACAACATTATTCTGGTTTTCAAAATAGTGAATTTCCCTTTTCTTAGGAGCAATGTGCCTGCATCACTTGCATATAGTATATATCATCATATTTGTTTTGATTCTGAAGAGCTTCACAATCACTGGATAGTGAGTGAAACACAGATGAGCATATACATACTTCACCATAGGTTTCACATTTTTGTACTGAGCTTGACCTTACAAAATTCAATTCATAAACCACTTTGACCACAAGCGATACTATTGGTTTTGCATGCATTGAGTTAAGCTATTTCAGTTGATATTTTATAGTGTGTCTTTCTATGTTGTGATGTTACACTATTGTTTCAGAAAAAGGGTGAAGGTTTGGTACCATTAAAACGTTTAAACCCGCTGCATTTGTTTGCACCTGTCCTAAGTCAGGAATCTGATGTTCAGTAGTTGTCGTTTGTTGATGTGGTTCATAAGTGTTTCTCGTTTCTCGTTTTTTATATAGATTAGACCGTTGGTTTTCCCGTTTGAATGGTTTTACACTAGTAATTTTTTGGGGCCCTTTCTAGCTTACTGTTCGGTGTGAGCCAAGGCTCCGTGTTGAAGACCGTACTGTGACCTATAATGGTTTACTTTTATAAATTTTGACTTGGATGGAGAGTTGTCTCATTGGCACTCATACCACATCTTTTTATATCTATGTATAAGATACACCCATGAGGGCTTCAGATGATGGTCTTTCAGCAATTAAACCTTGTTTCATGGTAAAGCATGATAAATGCAGGATATCTAATTACATTTATTGGCATCATGTTGTAAATGAGAATATGTTTGGCCTTTAAGAGCTTTTGTTTTGATTGGATTTGTTATTCCCCAAAATTTGAGTTCTCAGTATCTGTTGTTTGTCTCTGCTTGTTTTTATTTTCATCTGTCTCCATGCCGTTAATGTGTTTTACATGTCATCTAGATTTTGATTTTTTTTAATTTCACTTTTAACATTGTTGGTTTCTTATCTTCTAACAATTGCAGTATCATATAATTCACACAAAAAAGGCACAGGATTTATTGTAACCTTTTGAAAAGAATATCCAATCAACAATCCAGGAAATGAGAAAGACAAATTATCAATTCATTGACTGACATACATACATATTTATTTTTTATTTTCTGCATGTTATTATTTTTTTAATTGTCTCCATATAAGGAAACCAATTACTAGTAAATAAAAATAGTCAAGACACATTAGGGAATAAGGAAGCTTTTTACATGTTGTTGTTTATACACCTGTTATTTCATTTAACATAAGTTTTGATGGTAATCTTGTACGTATTTGTAATTTCAAAAGATAACATTTTTTTAAACACCTTCAGGGAGAGAATTCATTAGTAGAAAAGCAAGTTAATGTTTCTGGATCAAAGATTTGTGTTGATTTTTCACACCTTGGATTTAACAGATAATTCATTAAAGTCACCATACATTAAAACTTCACGAACATAATGATGTGTCAAACCTTGATGGATAACGCTTCAATGTAATCAAGGCACTTTTTGTATTATTATAAAATTGCATATATTTGTGTATTGCCTGGTGGTATTAGTGTGGGAATTTTCATCTGGTAAGGATATTCAGTTTTAATTTTAATTTTCTGAATACATAAGATTATTAGATTTACAGCCATTCTATGGAAAAATTATATATATATATATTAAGCATGAATGTATGAAAAAGATTACTTGTATTTGACATTACCGTATGTTAAAATATTCATGTGGGATTGAAAAGATAATTTGTTTGAATTAGAATATTATAAAGTTACATGTACATTGGATAATGTTAGACGCATTGTAAAAAGTTTCCTTTTCAAACATAATATTTCCTGTATGATAAAAATATTAAAATTTTCTTTTCTATTCAATTTTTGTTAGTATATGTTCAATGTCACTTTTAAACAAACTTTGTGATCTTTGTTATTTAGCTTCAATGTATGTATAATTAAGAGACATAAACAAGAAAAATATTTTTTCGTTGAAATTTACATATTTCCATGCAACACCACCTCATACTCCATTTTCCCCAGCAACCTTTAATTTTTTTTTGTAAAATGTGAGAATGAATATACTGATATTCTTTAATATGGCCTAAGAGAAATAACATCACAAGGCTAGCCTTGGACAGAAAGGAAGTAATTATATATAATTATATACTGTGGTAGATATACTCTGGTCACTAACAGGTACTATTGGCAGGTTAAATTGAGTAATGGATCAAAATACCTGTAATTAGTAACTAATTAAGAAGACAGGTGAATGTTAAAATGGAGGGCACCTGTTCTAACACTCACATGACAAACTGACAATGATGACAAGATGTGCATTATTATTGCCGTTAGGGCATCAGCCTCGTCTGGAACAGCACAACCAAACACTATTTCTTATAACGGATAGATTCTATGGACAAACACATTGGAGTAAAGTAAGTCAGACAAACAAATAACTTGTGTAGCCCAGATACAACAGAATGTTATCTATAGATGATTGCTTGTTCAAGCTTTTACCCCATCCTCTCAGAAGATGAGACTTGCAGCTTTGTTTACACAGTTCAAATATACCAGAGATCTATTTTTGTGCAATTAATGGATGAAGATATTCATAATGTACATAATTTTTTGATTACTTTGATGAAATCCATGTTTAGAATGTATACTTCTCTGAGAATATAATTTATATAAATTTTACCTGTTGATTATGAAATTGATATTTTTCAATTATTGTTGTAAGTGTCAAGTAGGAGTGTTTATGTTGTTTTTAAGCAGCATGAAATAACAGTCAGCTAAAAATACTGTTTAACACTTCCTACACGAAAGTATCATATCATAATTTAACTATGATATCCGATATAATATAAAATTCTAGGAGTTTGTTGGCAATTATAAAAGGTTTGTCAGCTGTTTTTATTGTGCTGAAAAAATAATTTTCAAAGTTTTCTTAAACCTGTTCTCTTTGAATACATATTTTTATTTATTTGAAGAAAAATGTTAGTGTTTTAATGGTTGTCTGTGTTTTTGTCACACTTTTTTAACCGCAACAATGAAACTCTCACTGACTCTTACAGGCAATGAAGATGTGCACCAATTATTTCAAATTCGATTTACTGTAAAGTGCTTTATTTTGTGTTGATACCTAGAGCTTAATCTGTTTGTTAGTTTTTATTTTGCATTTTTCTAATCCCTGTTTCTGATACATCAGGTCGAGATGGGCGTCTTATGCACCATGTAGGGTGAGTGCCACAAGATTTAAGAATCTACATTCAGTAGGTAGCCTATTAGAAGGCAAATAACATACTCTCACTTTTCAGTGGCAGTCTAAATTCCCCCCCCCCCCCCCCCCCCCCCCCCCTTTATCCCTGTTGCCTAAACAAATATTGTTTTACTGCTGAGTTAAGCTCTTAAAACCAAATTAATAATGATGAGAGTAATATATTGTAGATACTTGTTTGAACTTGTTTTATATACCATGTTACTAGTAAACTGATACATCCTTTTTTTTCATTTATTTTTTAGGCAATATTTGGTGGACGTATTAGCAGTAAAAAGACGAATGTTATCAAAACAAATCCAGTGTACAAAGATGGACACGGATTAAAAAATGGAAAAAACTCTAGCAAGGAAAATGATATGGGTGGTATAGAAATTCAGGTTTATAATAACATACCAAAATCATCAGTGGAAAATTCAACAAAACATGAAAATTCAATAATGAAAGAACAATTGATGAAGGAAAATTCACGAACAGAGCGTGATAAAGTAACAGTTACTAATGGTGATGTTTGTGTGGGTGATATAATTATAGAAAATGGGTATAGAAATCCGTCATTTATATCTGATACTGATAGTGAGGTAGGACTTGATGTGATGGAGCATACAGTAAAATACTCTGGGGAAGGCGAGGGGAAAGGTGACATGTCAGCAGGGTCAGAATGGCCAGATATTGATGACATCGCACTACCACCACTGTCACATGATCAAATTGAAAAATCAACGAATAGCAGTGATGAAGAAGCTTATGAAATGATAGACTACAACAGAAATAAAACAAAATTCAAAAATGACATTGATCCTGTTGACATTGAAATTGATGTTAGTCGGGACATGGAAACCAAAGTTAAGTCAGAGGAAGAAAAAGTAACTGAAAATCTGGTTCAAGATAAAAAGGTAGAAATTCAAACAGTCTCTACAACATTAATCCAGTCTGAGGCTCAAGATCAAACAGTTCATGAAGTTCAATCAGCGTCAGTGCAGGTGGATGAAACAGAAACTTTAGGAAAACAAGTAAATGAAAGTGACAATACCCTTGAAAAACATGTAAATGAAAGTGAAAATAACCTTGAAAAACAAGTAAATGAAAGTGAAAATAACCTTGAAAAACAAGTAAATGAAAGTGAAAATAACCTTGAAAAACAAGTAAATGAAAATGACAATACCCTCTTAAATGGTGAAATGCCACACATGACAACAAGTGATCTCAGTTCTACAGATCCCAAGGAAAATGACAAAAATTCAGACACTAAAAGTGAGGCTCAAAATGAAAACACGAATGATACTAATCACCAAAAGACAAATGGTTCCATTAACAAAGAACCAAAAATGAATGGATCAGTGAATTCAACATATTCTCTTGATGAAGACAGCTATGTAAATGAAAAAGGAAAATCTAAAAAGAAGAAAAAATTAAAACAAAGAAAGAATTCACTTCCAGATCATATATTAAACTCACTGAATATGAAACCATCTAAGCCCATTCTTGTTCCTGTAGTCATGGATGATAGTGCTATGCCAGTAGGTCGTTCAAGGTCAACTGACAATTCAAATGAACAAAAATCAGTCAAATTTTCTGATGATACTGTGTTTAATGATACAAAACCAAATAAATACAAACAGGAAAGATTAACTTTAAAGGATATTTATAAAGGGAAAATATCCAGTAAGGATGCTGTTGCCAAACTTAATCCCGTGTTTCATGATGAGGACAATCAGGCTATACAAGACAGGAACACAGAAGATGGTGACCAGGTAATATACTTAGATAACCAATAATCAGAACATGTTAAAACATTTAAAGATTTAAAGAGTTTTATTCATTTCTGTAAATTCATAGAAATGCAATTTTGAAAATATGATAAATTGATTATTATATTAAATTTACCTCAAAAAGCTGCAAATATTTAATCTTGCTTTTCAGTTGTATTTGAAAAACAAATAATTATGGGTAATGATTGTAATGATAAATGATATCTTTTAAACATTTATGAAATTTAGCATTTTCTCCCATTTAACGGTTTTCTGCAGGTATTTCTATAGAATATTAATCACCTGTTTAAAGTTTAATAATGTGACAACAGTAACTTGGCTTTTAACAATATAGCAGTATGTTAATCATGGTGACAGCATTTTTTAATACCTACTCAAGGATTAAAGGGTGGAGGTTTAATTTTGAAAAAAATCTAGTATTACTTTTGAAAGTTCAGTCACACAAATTAATATGCTTTTGCCTCCAGCCTTCAAAACTATCTGGAACACCAAATTATCTTGCACTTTTGAATGTCAGTGTGGTTAAAGTTGAACTTTTATATTTTTTAAAGTTGCTATTTTGGATAATAACATACTAGAATTATTTATTTTTTACAAAAATCACCTTACATATATAGTAGTCTGACTCAGCTGGATAACCATAAAATTCTAATAAAAATTAAATACTCACTTTCAATAAAAATTTTAAAATGCATTTTGATATGCAAGTCATATTAGTCAAAATGATAATTCATAACCATAAACTGAAAAGTTGTTGAAGCATTGTAAAATGGTATACCTGACTAAATTTTTTGAACTTTAATTAAATGTCGGTGTTATGGTATACCAATGTTGTTCAGCCAAAATCAAACAAGTTTTCTATATATGGAAACATCAATGCAGCAACACAGAAATGTTTTGCACTTTCTTACTAATCATCATATGACTTTATTTTAATGCCAAAAAGCCAGTGTGACCTATTGCTATCACTTGGCATCCTTCGCCTGTCGTCAAAGTCTATCGTCTATTTACTTTTACAACAGTCTTATCCTCGAAACTACAGAGCCAAATATAATTGAATTTGGCCACAATCATCCTTAGGGTATCTAGTCTAAAAAATGTGCCTGCCAACCAACATGGCTGCCAAGGCTAAAAAAAGAACATATGGGTAAAATGCCAGTATTGTCTATTATATTGTTACGAGTTACAAATAGAGAAAATCTGACAGGGGCAGAAATGGTCAATATGATAACTTAAGATCTACGTATTTAGACCAAAAATGTCAGACAACTCCTTATAGGAGTCATTGCTTATTGTTGTAGTATGAATCATACTATGGGTTTACTCATTTGAATTGTTATAGTCAGGGTTTTACTCATTGTTGAATGCTGTACAGTGACCAGTAATTGTTCACATCATTGTCTTTAATTGAAAGTTGTCCCATTCATACAACATCTTATTTTTCCTATTTTTGAACAGATGCTGCTATGGATAACTGAGATTGTTTCATCAAAGAACATAAAACCAGTACAAATAAATACTCTAATAACATTGTCAACCACTCAAACTAAATTTTTAAAAGTAATGAATTCACTTAAAGATTATAAATTAATATTAGTCTTAAATCCAGACAAGCTGAGGTGTCCATGCTTATTAATATTTTGATATGAGCATTTTGTCACAAAAGTAATGATATATGATTTTATTTAACTTTCAGTATGATGATAATCTGAATACACCAGCCTACTTGAAGAATTATTTAACATCTCATGGTGGAGAACAAGGACAAATCAGACATGCTGGACTTGTAATTAATTTATTTTTCTTCATTATGTTATACCAGTTTCTCATTTCTACATCTCAGTTACTGTCTAAATTAAGCTTAATTAAAAAAAGTGGACAAAAGATACCAATGGGGTGATCAAAAACCATAACTTGAAGAAAAACGGACAACACTATAGCCAAAGGAAACATGACAAAAAAACAGACATCACTATAGCCAAAGGAAACATGACAAAAAAAAACAGAAAAACAGACAACACTATAGCCAAAGGAAACATGACAAAAAAACCCAGAAAAACAGACATCACTATAGCCAAAGGAAACATGACAAAAAAAAACCCCAGAAAAACAGACAACACTATAGCCAAAGGAAACATGACAAAAAAACAGAAAAAACAGACAACACTATAGCCAAAGGAAACATGACAAAAAACAGACAACACTATAGCCAAAGGAAACATGACAATAAAAAGAAAACAGACAACACTATAACCAAAAGAAACATGACAAAAAAAAGGAAAAAACAGACAACACTATAACCAAAGGAAACATGACAAAAAAACAGACATCACTATAGCCAAAGGAAACATGACAAAAAAACAGACATCACTATAGCCAAAGGAAACATGACAAAAAAACAGACATCACTATAGCCAAAGGAAACATGACAAAAAAAAAACAGAAAAACAGACAACACTATAGCCAAAGGAAACATGACAAAAAAAAAACAGAAAAACAGACAACACTATAGCCAAAGGAAACATGACAAAAAAAAAACAGAAAAACAGACATCACTATAGCCAAAGGAAACATGACAAAAAAACAGACAACACTATAGCCAAAGGAAACATGACAAAAAAACAGACATCACTATAGCCAAAGGAAACATGACAAAAAAAAACAGAAAAACAGACAACACTATAGCCAAAGGAAACATGACCAAAAAAAACCCAGAAAAACAGACAACACTATAGCCAAAGGAAACATGACAAAAAAACAGAAAAAAACAGACAACACTATAGCCAAAGGAAACATGACAATAAAAAGAAAACAGACAACACTATAGCCAAAGAAACATGACCAAAAAAAAGAAAAACAGACAACACTTTAGCCAAAGGAAACATGACAAAAAACAGACAACACTATAGCCAAAGGAAACATGACAAAAAAGACAACACTATAGCCAAAGGAAACATGACAAAAAAACAGAAAAACAGACAACATTATAGCCAAAGAAAACATGACAAAAAAAAACAAGAAAAACAGACAACACTTTAGCCAAAGGAAACATGACAAAAAACAGACAACACTATAGCCAAAGGAAACATGACAAAAAAAAAAGAAAAACAGAAAACACTATAGCCAAAAGAAACATGACAAAAAAAAGGAAAAACAGACAACACTATAGCCAAAGGAAACATGACAAAAAAGAAAAACAATACACATAAGATTGAGATCAGATAAATGAAATTATGTCTTTGTTTGATTATGAAAATACCACTTCTGATTTTCTAGGCAATGTAGTTTTTGATTTTTTTTTAAAATTTCATGGATTAAAATATCAAAGTGTTCACTTGTATTGATTAGAAATGTTGTCAACCTTGAAAACAAGTTGAGTGAAAAAAAAACATCCTTATATAAATATAAAAAGATCTGTACACCATATATAGAACAAAAAACCTGTAGTTAGATAAAATCTTTATAAAGCAGTTTATCATGGTTGATGACTCCAACTGACTTTAATCATGTTAATTATAAGTAAAAATAGAAAATTGGTAAAAAACAATATGCATTTGGAAAATGGTAATTGCAACCAAACTTCACATAATTGATACATTTATGATCTCTTTATAAAGAATTATGATTTTATCTGATAGCCATCAAAAATGTCTGCTACATAACTAAACATGCTAAATATAGAAAATTTTATACAAAAAATTAAATAAAAAGTATTTTGTAAGTCTCAGTTAAGTAAAGTTTAGGTAAATGATGCAAAACTTATACAGCCAAGAAGAATATTCAAATGATTTTGATTAAACAAAAAAAAATAAACCTTTTAGTATTTCTTTCAACATAGGTGGATTTTTTTTATCATTCACTAAAAATATATTTTCTCCTCTGAAAACAATATTATATCTAATTTAGAAGCATGGAGAACATAATTTACATTACTTGAAGTTTAGAGTTTGTGAATATGAAAACATTGGGATGCTTAGTATTTTGACCAAATATAGTTAAATAAGAGGGGCGAAAGATACCAGAGGGACATTCAAACTCATAAATCGAAAATAAACTGATAAAGCAATGGCTAAAAAAGAAAAAGACAAACAGACAAACAAAATTACACAAAACACAACATAGAAGAAAACAAAAGACTAAGCAACACGAACCCCACCAAAAACTCGAGGTGTTGCAATGGTAAAATAGACCTCTTTTGATGTTGAGATCACCTGATTAAAAGTCAAGGTCACACCGGAAATAAATTGACTTTTGTACAAAGTATCCATTATTCTTATGTAGTATCATAAAAATAGCATTCGTTTCATCATTGTTGTTATTTAGTACTTATTTTCTGATAAGTTACAGTTTGTTTATTTTGGATTGCTTATTGCACTGGTTTTAACCTGTCTAAATCAGTTTTTAAATATTCAAGTGATTCTTTAGTGCATAAATTTTCTCTATGCAGTTTTCATACACTTTTATATCTATTAAAACAGTTGAAGTTAGCATCCTCTTTTGTAACCTGAAGTAAGAAGTCAATGTATGCAGGAATTTACTCTCAGTGTAAACATGATAGATGGCCTCTTTAATATTTGTAATTATTTCACATCAATTAATGTCAGAACTCTTCATCTCTTATTTAATAATTAATTTACTTTATTATCTACACCAAGTGTGTTACAGAGATTGAAGTTTATAACTGTAGGTTAATTGGACTAATGTAAGCTATTTTTGTCACTTAGTGTCTGTAACTAATAAAAGTTTCACATTTTCATTATCTCCTTTGAAAACAACTTGAAAATTTATTACCAAACTGTATGGAGGGTCCTTCTTGAAAATTATTTTTTTTGTTCCCATTTTTGTGAGGTTAAAAAACAGTTTTTTTTAGGCAATTCTTCATTCTGAATGGTTAGTTTTTTCTCTTCTGAAACTGCAAGAATCCATCTTGTTAAACTTTTTATGAATGTTAATTTGAAGACCCTGTTCTCATATTGGTGCTGTTTTTACCACATAAGGACAATGATGTCACATAAATATCAGTGGACATAAAGGGACATCTATTTTTCATCTTGGAAAATGTTAGGCTTCTCTAAGATTGGCAGGAGTGATATGTAGTAAACATACATCTTAGCAATGGTGACTGTATTCTGAGTCAAATGGTTGTTTTTTAAATTATTGTCTGGATGATAATATCACATGCTGAAATAAACCTGCATGACCTTTCAAAATAGTTAGGTCTAAGGGAGGTAATAAATGATTGACTTGACAGTGTAAAGCTAGGTTCAGAAGTATTGCATTACTATACTTGAGTGATATCTAAACGTATACTTTAATTTATTGTAATTTGTCATTTCAATGAAATAATTGTGACCATCATTGATAGACAGAATTGAAATTAACATTTGACTTTAAACTAATATACAATCTTTATTTTTAGTCCTGAATAAATTGTGATAAATTGCTACAAGCACCTTTTTTTAAGAATCCATCAAACACATTTAAATTTGACTAGAAGTACATAGTGTAACCCAGTCTTAAACATGGTTTACAGTAGACTTACATTGTACGCTTGAGTGATATCTTAATCTTCAGTCCTGAATAAATTGTAATCAATTAATACAATACCTTTTTTTTATAAATTGGTTAATTAACAGTCCATAATAGGTATAGAATTATTTCATATTATAAAAATAATGAGATGTGGAATAATTGCAATGAGACAACTATCCACAATAGTCTAAATGACAAGCATGTAAGCAACTATTGGTAACTGTTCAGCCTTCAATAATGAGCAAAACCCATACAGTATAGTCAACTAGAGCCCCAACATAATAAAATGTTAAACATTTCAGACGATAAAACCAACAGCTTGTTTAATGATAAAACAAATATGACAAAAGAAAAGGAAATACTTTTCTATAAATAAAAAAATGGTGATAATTATTGTGTTTTTCTTGGAATTGTACATAATGAAGTATACAAATATTTCCTTTTATTTTCCAGGATGTAGATAATGATATTGAAAGCATTGGCAGTGAAGGGGCGGTCAACTACGACAAATTAATCGAACAAACAATAGCAAGAAAGAGACGAAGTCGAATTCTCCGCCTTATATGTGCAGTATTTACATTTTGTGTTGTTATTGGAGTTGTGGTTGTTTTAGTCATATTTGTTGGGAAAAAACAGTCATGATTAGGATACAAAAAAGTTGAGCTAAATATGTTTATGTAGTCATAAAGAAGCAGACATAATTATAAAATTTGGAGGTCAAAACAGCAGGGTATTATATGGGATGCAAACAGAAATTAAGATCAATTTAAAATGATGTTCTGACATTTTTTTTTTGCCATTGATGAAAAATGATCACAAAAAGTTCCTTGATGCATAACATGTTCCATCTTTTTATTATAACATTTATAATTCCATTTACATTAATGTTTGTCACTATATGGTATTCAAAAATTGAAATTTTAATTTAAAAAGTTGTGTATAAGAGAAACTTAAATGACTATTTTTTTGGTATAAATGTAAAACATTCAGATATTTAGGATTGAAATATTTGTATCTGTGTCTTTTTTTACTTTCCAGCCTTTTAAATTGATTGATTATTGTTTAACATAACTTTAGCATGAAACAGCTATATTGCAATGAGGGTCACAAACTTTTTAAAGCTGTAATTGTTTTTCAACTGCAGCAAATGACAAGGTTCACTTTTACCAAAATTTGGCCATGAATTTCAACTTTATCATAAATTTCATCAGGTAACTTGATTTTAAAATGGACCAATTTCTAAAGCCTAAATGCCTAGTTCAACAACTCCTTCATAAAAGTATATATACGTGTAGTTGCAAAAGTCAGCACATTTTGGAGATGTAAAAAAACGATGATTTTGTGCATTTTGCAGACCAGAAAGCTTCATGGAAACTTTGACCGCAACACACAATCCAAAATATTCTGTAATCAAAAAGTGCTAATATTTTTATTGAATACCTAGATCACAGGTGGTGGCCAAAGTTAACTTTTCCATAAACTGTTATAACTATGGAAAAATTGGACCAAAACGGACGTTACTACTCAAATAAAGCATACTTAAGGGATCATAACTTTGTAATTTATAATGTAGTGTGCAAACAAGAAGTAAATGTGTATTAATAGTTATACCACAACTATTTCTATGTAGAATTTGTGGTATTCTGGCCAGATTTTAAAAATATTAAAACCTTAGGGGCCAATTTTGACCCTTCCTGAACCTTGTCCTTTGGTATGGTTTTTTCATAAATTGTGATACCAGGTAAACATCTTCATGTCAGCTTCTGTGTAAAAAGTAGTACAAAATCTAACTACATTTGTAGCATTTTACTAAATACATCCTGCATGTCATTGCAAAACAAATTCTTCTTTTGAAAATGCTGATCTTCATGTGTGGAAATGTGTAATTATACTTTTTATATTTGGTTCTTTGTACAATATTCATAGCATCATCATTTCTTTTTTTTATCATTTTTTACTGTTACATTACATAGATTTTTTTTAAATGTAAAGAAATCTAAAAATTTGAATGAAAATATTTGTCAAGTAAGTTATACGGGTAAATGTTTGCTATGTGATTAATTTATTAATAGTAGAGCCAAAAATGATTCATATTAAAATATTTTTTTGTATTGAAATATGGTTGAGTTGAAAATAAGGATGAATTATTTGCTTTATAATTTTTTACATTATTGTTTTAATCACTACTTACTAAAAATCTGTTGAAAATAAGATAATTATATAACTTGCATATCAAACTTGGTCAGTTGGGCTTTCAAAGGGGTCAAAGGTTCATGAAAATCAGACGAGAAGTAAAATTAGAATATTTTTATAAATATCAATATGACACACCCTATCAACCCTCAACCAATATAATCCCTCTAGCAGATCTCTTGGGATTATATTGGTGTCTCTGGTTGCTGTAGGTGTGATATTGAAAATGCCATATGATATTCTGTATTGGGTGACACCAAACTGTGAAGTAGACACACTTGTTTAGAACCACCTATGCAGTATTGACTGTATTTAGCTTTTATATACATGATGTGAACAGGTTTTATATTGATGTTTCATTCGTTTTACAATATTGACTGAGTTTTTTTTAGAAAATGCAATATCTACTTCATTGATGACATGAGAAAAAACATTTTAGGGATGTCCGAAGCACACAAAGAAAATTCTTGAATTGTTTATAGTGTGTATGTCTTGCCAGTAAAACTTACAAATGTTTATGTGTATTTTTAGTATTATAGACTTATTTATATTGTATCAGAATTATTCTATAGTTAACTGTCATTTCCATAAACCTCATTACTTTTTTACATATATATCATTTTTTCATTTATATTTTTTAAGAAATTCTAAAATGCATTTAACGTCACAGTACCCAAATTGCACCGAGTACCCAAATTGCACCTATTCAACAAAAATAGCTGTGGAAATCTTACAAGTTTTCTTTGAGACTAAACAATTTGTATTTTTATGATTTAACATTGTACATGTCTTTCACATAGATAAATATACACAAAATGTTCACAGTATATATCAATAGATGAAGCATTCACTGGAAAAAGTAAAATCTATGGAAACTGGCGACATTCACAAAAAGTCATCTTTTAAAAATGAGCAAATAAAATATGTTACAAGCATCCATTTCTTAAAAAATGAATAGTAAGCATGGACTAATGTCAAATTGTTCTAAATGTTTAAAGAAATAAAACAAAACATCTGTTATTCAATTTTTAAGGATGTGAATTTAAGCATGTATGCAATTTGGGTACTCCTCATTTCAGAATCATGGATCGTTTGGAGGTTGGCTCAAACCCATTTTGCTATGATTCAATATGGATTCAAAATAAAATTGGTGTAATTATATGGTAAATAAGGATACGCCTACAAAATAAACACAGAATGGAAACTTTTGTCTGGATCATAAAAAAACGTAGGTGAAAAAACTGTCAAAATAGGTGCAATTTGGGTACCCTCACGTTACAGATTATTGTAAACTCATCAACAAAAAATAAATAATTTGTAAGTTTAATTGTAGTACTTTTGTCTATAAAATACCTTATTGAATTTCCCATATTTGTTTAATGCTAATGAAAGTATCAAAACCATATTAACTTGAAACCTGTCATTTATTGTTAACTGTGAAACCTAACTTACTGGAATCCTTCTATTTAATGATGTTAACTGTGGAACCTAACTCACTGGAATCCTTCTATATAATGATGTTAACTGTGAAACCTAACTCACTGGAATCCTATATAATGATTTTGATATAATCAGAAAACCTTTTTTTTTTAAAAGAACCCTATACACAGAATTATTATTTTGATTACCGCCATTCCTTATAGCCGTGTCTAAAATTCATATTCAAAAAGGTGCTATATTGTAAGAAATAAAATGATTATTACTTTATAATATATCCATCTGTGTACCTAAAGACGTGTTTCTTCGTAAATTGTACCTCTGGTTATGACCTGGTATCAAAGTTATTGGCTCTTGATGATACGTTCTGACAATAAAATGGTGGGAGGGATTAAGTTACATGAATAATTGGAGATGTGTGGTTAAGGTAACAAATTACACTACAGCATACGTAAAACAAGTAAAAACAGTTCTAGAGTTATGCCCTTTACAAATGGAAAATTGCTGAATTTTTGTTCCGTTCTTTAACTTTAGTTTGCCTCAACCAAATGTTATAAAACTTATACACAATGCTTATTACCACAAAATACAGATCAAATTTGAACTATGGTGGTGTCACTTTAACGGTTCTAGAGTTATGCCCATTTACAAATGGAAAATAGCTGAATTTTTCGTTTCTGTTCTCTAACTTAAGTTTGCCTCAACCAATCAAATGTTATGAGACTTATACACAATACTTATTAACAGAAAACTCAGATCAAGTACACATTTGGGTAGTGTCACTTTTACCGTTCTTCAGTTATGTCCCTTTATAACTTTATATGATATGCAAACTGGGACATCATCTGTGTCCTATGGACACATTCCCCATTTATTTTATCATACTCTTCAAGATAATAGTGCTAATGGTATACAGCTAGTTAATTATATTTGTGTCTTTTTTTATTAAAGTTGTAAATATAGAAAACACCATATTTTGTATAGAGTTCAATATGTTTCTGTAATTGGTTGTACATAACAGATCCCTAGTGCCTTTATCAATTTACTGTTTAATCCCTTGTTAGATGTAGAAAATTCAGATTTATCTCCCTTGATAAATAAAATGATATTATAACCAGTGCAGATGTACAAGTTGATAATAAAGTATCATATTTTTATAATTGTTCAACCTATTGGTGTTGGAAAGTCTACCATCAAAAATTCTTCATTCTCCACTAAAAATCTATTTCAAATCTGCTGGAAACCACTAAGCAAATCTGTACAATGAAACCCTATTTTTCTTTTCATAGTAATAAAGTAATAATTTTAAAGTCATCCCTGATAAGAATTGATTATAATGACTCCAGCAAAAAACAAAAGAGATGATTTATGTTGCTATGGAAATAGTATAGGGAATACAACTTTATATATTTTGATCTTTTATCTGTAATTGCTACAAGTCTGGTGATACCTAACCAACCTAAATCATTCATAAATTTGTTCTGTTATGGTAAAGAAAAATCACTTAGCCTGCAAGCTGCGTGATACTGTCTCCTTTTAATATCTCATTTTATAGTTTAACCCAACACCATCAGTTTCAAAGTCAATGCAATTAATGTGTCTTGAAATATTTTGAGAAAATAATAGGACAATGTCAATGTTGTGAAAGAAAAATAGAAAAGTTGTGATATAAAATTAAGGTTGTGATAAGGGAGCTAACTCCTTTGTACAAAAATTAATGTCTCTGTTGTTACAGATAGTGTATATTTTTTGTTGATGTTTGTTGCTCAATAGAAATACCATATTTATAAAGAAAATCCTACAAACTATTGTTTCATATTTTTAATATGAAGTTAAGTAATAAATATTTATAAACATAAAAGTGTGACAGTTTTATTTATGGAGTGACATGTTTTGATGCAGTTAAATTTTCAGGTTTAAGATTGATCCTCAGTATTTATTTACGAAAGGTCAATAACTTCTAGATTTGTTGTCGTTCTGGGGACTGTTATGTAGTGAAATATTTTTGTCTTCTTAAAATTCATTTTGTATTAATACATGTATAACAATATAAATATGATAGGTGTAAAGCGTAATAACATCACATCTCAAATGTATTTTCATATGAATACTCAGTTTACTTGTAACAAGATCCTGATCTTTTTCATTTGTCAGATAAGTAGCGGTATAATCTTCAACAGATAGATCACCTACACATATGATATAAAAATAAAAATATGTAGATGATTGTCAATGAGTCATCTCTCCACCAGAGACCATATGAAGTAGAAGTTAACAATTGTAGGTCACCATACTGCCTTCAACAATGAGCAAAACCCATACCGCATAGTAAGCTATAAAAGGCCCTTATTTATGTACAAAACAATAATTGAAAAACAAATGTGATATACAGCAACATACGACAACCACTGAATTACAGACTCCCGACTTGGGACAGACACATACATAATGTGGCGGGGTTAAACATGTTTGTTGGCGCCAAACCCTACCCCTAACTGGGAGAGTGGTGTATAAGTACATACAACATCAGAACAAACTTTAAAAATTAGTTGAAAAGTACTTAACTCATCAGATGGATAAAAGGCACCAATAAAACCTAACAAAAAAACAAGACACAAAGTACAGATCTAAGAGTACTCACAGTTACTTAAAGCTAGTTCAAAGCCAATAACAACCAATAAAAAAAATGTGTATGTATCTAAATGTATAAATTTTTCACACATACAAAAAGTTGTTTTGTAACACTTATATAAATGATACATTTGTAGTCTATTTTCTTTTGAATGATTGTAAGTAGATCACTTACCATTGTCATATAAAACAAAAGTATTGCAGTGGAATATCAAAACTAATTCATGAAGATTCTTAGGCTAAAGGAGGATATATAATAAGAGCCATTATTTGAACCCTGGAACTGCATTAACATACTTTTAAATATTCAAGCCTTTCAAAATTTTGTTCATTTTATTGTTGAGAAAAATAGATGATAAAGTCTGGATATTTTAGGGCAGAAAAGTCATTAGTGATGTCCTTATGACATCTGAACATGTCAAAATTGATATATTTAGCCTAAAATGCCCATTTTACACAAAAGTTTTCTGACAAAAAATGTATGAGCCAAAGCCTTATCCAATTTGAAGTCTTTGAAAAAGATCTTTTGTAACAAAATGCATTGCATATACCAGTACAGGGGTTCAAACTAGTGTGGGTCCGAGGTCTAGGACCTGTCTTTTCTAGGAGAGGACTTTTCATTTTTAAATTACAAAAGTCAAGGACCTACCATTCTTTACACTGACGCTTGATACACGACCATTGATTTCTTATGGAGGACCCTTCACTTAAAATTTCAAATGGTCCTAAACCTTTCATTACTTAAAGCAAATTTGAACCCCTGCTATATATTTTTGGGTCAAGTTTTGGCTTATATCTAAATATCAATGACAAAAACTCAAAGTGAAGTTATTTTGGGAGTTTGAAGCCCTAATGCTAAAATTAAAAAACAAAATTCAATAATATAAATACATTATCTAACAGACGAATGTTTTGTGAACATCTGAGGGATGTTATTTGATAGATAATACTTTTGATTTTCATATTTAAGGGGCTAAAAAAGGCACCTTTTCATACCTTCTTTGAAACAGATTTGTTTTTTTTATTAAATATGAATAAAATGAGATGCTTGTCCATGACACAAACACCCAAAAGGCCACCAGAGAGCAACACACTGCAACAACAACAAATAGGTGCAACAAACCAAGCCCCAAAAACCACCCAGAGTTATTACAAGCAGTGAACATTTAGCAATGAGAGCTGTTTTAAACTGTTTTAATCTTAAATGAAACTTACTTTAATATGTGAACTGAATACTAATGAGTTCTCCACTGATGGGTCAACTCAGTCTGATTAAAATACATATCCTGTGTCTAAGATTTGCTTACAAGGATCTGTCAACAGTCAGTTTTACTCTCTTTTCTGATAATTATTACATCAGCCAATCAAATTTCAGCCTTCAAATTTTAAAGGTGTGTATTAATCCGACAAAACCAGAGGATCCCAAAAGGTCTTTAAAACAGAAATTAGAGTGTTTTCAGATCCTTGTAATCAAAGCTTGGATACATGATCTGTATTTTGATGAGATTGGGGTCAACTGAACTAGCTTCATATGAAGGATCCTCAAATTAAAAAAAAAAATTTAAATAAAAGGGCCTGGAAGTAGCTGTTTTGCCATAAATTGACTAATCTGATGTACATAAATGCACTGATCTAATTGACATTCACTTGTACAAATCTGATTGACAACCTCATCTTACTGACATTGACATGCTCAGATCTGATCCACATATACCTATACAGATCTTACTGACATACACAAACAAATGTCATGTACAGACCTGATTGACATACTCTTTTACAGATCTGATTGACTTTCCATGTACAGATCTGATTGACATACTCATTTACAGATCTGATGACATGCATGTACAGATCTGAATGAATTATGCATATATAGAAACGATTGACATACTCATATGCAGATCTGATTGCCATACTCATGTGCCGATCTGAATGCAATACTCATGTATACATCTCATTGACATAATCATGCACAGTTCTGATTTGCATACTATTGTGAAGATCTGATTGACATACTCATGTACAGATCTGAATGACATATGCATGTACAGATTTGAATGACATATGCATGTACAGATCTGAATGACATGCATGTACAGATATGATTGACATACTCATATGCAGATCTGATTGACATACACATGTGCCGATCTGAATGCAATAATCATGCATATATCTGATTAACATACACATGTACAGTTCTGATTTGCATACTATTGTATAGATCTGATTGACATACACATGAATAGATTTGATTGACATACTTATATGCATATCTGATTGACATTCTCATGTTCACAACTGATCAACTAAATCATGCATATCTGATTGACATATTCATGTGAAGATCTGATTGACATATGCATCTACAGATCTGATCGACATACTCATGTGCAGATCTGATTGACATACTCATGTACAGATCTGACTGACATACTCATGTGCAGATATGATTGACTCACTCATTTACAGATCTGATTGATTTACTCATGTTCAGAACTTATTGAAATATTTGATTGAAATATTCATGTATGGATCTGATTGACATACTCATGTACGGATCTGATTGATATATACTCATTTATAGATCTGATTGATTAACTCAGGTTCAGAACTTATTGACAGCCTTTTATAGCCGACTATACAGTATGGGTTTTTCTCATTGATGAAGGCCGTACGGTTGCCTATAATTGCTTTCATCCACTTTATTTGAAATTGGGTGGATTGTTGTCTCATTGGCAATCATACCTCATCTCCTTATTCTTATATTGTACAGATTTAATTGAAATATTCATGTATGGATCTGATTGACATACTCATAGATATAAGAAGATGTGGTATGAGTGCCAATGAGACAACACTCCATCCAAGTCAAAATTTATAAAAGTAAACCATTATAGGTCAAAGTACCATCTTCAACACAGAGCCTTGGCTCACACCGAACAGCAAGCTATAAAGGGCTCCAAAAATTACTAGTGTAAAACCATTCAAACGGGAAAACCAACGGTCTAATCTATATATAAAACGAGAAACGAGAAACACTTATGAACCACATTAACAAATGACAACTACTGAACATCAGATTCCTGACTTAGGACAGGTGCAAACAATTGCAGCGGGTTTAAACGTTTTAATGGTACCAAACCTTCACCCTTATCTGAAACAATAGTGTAACATCACAACATAGAAAGACACACTATAAAATATCAATTGAAATTGCTTAACTCAATCAAAAGACATATTAACATCAGTGAATATACACTGAACAAATAAATTTGATCTATGATACAATGTAAATACAAAATAAATAAACTAAGAGAATAATAATTAATGTAACGTGTTATACCGCTGTGAAATGTTAAACAATTTAAGAAAAACAAAATGCTTGAACAAAAATATCAGCCATTTGCAATGCCTTCAAACACAGGTAAATGAAAATAATTTTGTTGTTAGGTATACATGTACAGTTCAAATGGAGAAAGGAAATATTTTTACAAAATAAATAATTTTGATGTTCATAGTACGAAGAAGTGAAAATTTATAGTAATACCAAACACTTATCAAAGCTGGTATATAGACTAGATATAACCCTGAATAAGTAAACATTAAATAACAAAAAAGCATTACAATTAGTATCAACAGGTTAAATAAACAAGAAAGTACGATTTGAGAGTACTCGCAGTTACTGACAGCTAGTTAAAAGCCAAAAACAATTAATAATTAAAAAATCATGCATCAGAGACTAAAATCAACTAAAACACATCCCAGGGATTTAGTATTTTAACGTCATGGACAGTCAAAGAAGACATGACTTGTGCAATGCTAAAAATAAATGTATCGACAGGCAGTAGAATAATTAGGAGTTAACCTCTTTATAGATCAAAATGAACGTGGGTGTATCTTTATACATCCCGTTTGAAAAGAATACAAATTTAGTTATGTTTTAATTTGCTGATGACAAAATCGATATTAGTGCCAATGTAAACTATATTCAAAGATCTAATTACAACATTGGTAAGATAACCTTTAATAATAAGTTTGTTTAAAGGTTCGATGAGTTTACACAGATCACATAGTGATTTCCGCGCTTTGAGTTCAATATTACCGTAAAATTTAGGATGTGAAATACCGTTTTTAATCAGTTTTCTACAGGTACAGCCAAATTTACTAATCAAATCTTTGTATCTATGAAAGAATTTAGTAAAAGTTTTACGTAATTTATGGTAACCAAATCCCTGACTTAATAATTTACCAGTGATGCATTGATTACCAGTGGCGGATCCAGAACTTTTCATAAGGGGGGGCCCGCTCCAGTCATGCTTCAGTGATTCCCTATATAATCAACCAAATTTTTCCCACAAAAGGGGGGGCCCACCCCTGGATCCGCCTATGATTACATTCGTTAAAATCTATGACATCACTACACACACAGGCATAACAAACGAGTTGGGATATATAAACACTGTATGATGGAGCCAAAGGAGAAACGCCAGCTAAAAAAGGAATATTAACAATAGGGAATGAAAAGTCGTCTCTTTTGTGGTAAATTTTAGTATGGAGTTTTCCTTTAGAGATTGAAATGTCCAAATCTAGAAAAGGACAACTACTGCTGTTTATGTTAGATTTAGTTAAAGTAAGTTCTTTTGGGTAAATTTCGGTAGTATATTTAGAGAACTCTGGATTATTTAACGAAAAAATATCATCCAGATAACGGAAGGTATTGTTGAATGTATCAACCAAATGTAACAATGACGTGTCTTTACTGAGTTTGGTCATTAACTGAGATTCATAGCAATACAGGAATAAATCTGCTATTAAAGGGGCGCAGTTAGCGCCCATAGGAATACCTACTACTTGTCGATACACTTTATCGCCGAAAAGTATATATATGTAGTCCAGGAGAAAATGTATATCTTCACTATATAGATATAGGCATACTTTCCTTTTTCGTTACAGAAAAAAGCTTTAAACGAGTTACAGCAAATAAATTTGTAATGAGATTTTTCAAAAGACCATTTAATTAAATATGAAAACTTTTTCTTGATAAGATTGTGTGGAAGTGTAGTATAGAGAGTAGAAAAATCATAACTGTCAACAAAATTAAAAGGACCATCAAAAGCATCTATTTTATCTAAAACCTCTAAAGAATTTTTAACACTTCAAAAATAATTAATACCATTATTTTCATAAGTTTTATTACAAAAGTTAATAACAAGTTCTTTGATAGTAGTAAGGGAGGTAGTTAGAAGCACTGATAGATTGGTAGTAGAACACTTACTAGACGTGGAGATGAAAAAGAATTTAAATGTTTTTTTGTGCAATTTAGGTAACCAATACATAGTAGGGACTTTCAAATGTACGGAAGAGGCTTTAAGCTGGGTAGTGGCAGTGATATGCTTGTGGACCTGAATGTAGAAGAATTTGTAATTTCGTTTTAGAGAACTTCCGTGTAGTATATGCATCACACCACCACTACATTATTTGCTGCTTTGTCTGCCGGTATGAACACAAACCGCTTTGCGAGTACTTGGAGTTTATTTTTTATTCTAGAAATGGGAATATCATGGACCCTTTTACTAATTTCAGAATTGTTTTCAAAATGAGATATATGAATATTATTCAAATAACTGTCTAGAGATTTTTTATCAGATTTTTCACGGTTACACCAATTTTTACAGTAGACAGACAGAGCGTCTTTAATGATCTGACGACACTGTTTCCAATCTATTTTAGATGGAGGACGATATTTCAGTCCTTTCTTAAGAAAAGTAATGACCTCACGGTCTTCGAAAATGTTGAGGTCTCCTGTAAGGACATGACCATAGGGAACATATCTAAAACTAGATGTTTCACAGTCTCAAGTGGAAGGAACATTATTTTCTATATTGACGTCTGATGTAACCGACGTATAATTATAAATCAAACTTCTGCTGGTTTTTTTATGAGAATACGAAATAATAGGTGGTTTTATATTATCAAAATATGGAGGTATTTGGCTTTGGATGGTAGAGTCATTGAATATACTAGATAAGTTAATAAAATCAATACCTCTATTTATATATTTTAATTTAAGAAAATGCCGTTTATGATTTTCAGGTTTATCGATACTAGGAAATAGCCTATGATGACAAAAGGCTGTAATAATACGGGTGTATTCATATTTCCATGTGGAACATATCTGAGGAGCTGTAAGATATAAATTCATCTAGATTTTTTCTGCAAAGGTGTCGTTGGGTTCAATGATGAATGTAGATCAACAAGATCTAAACTTCATCTCCAGTAATGTTTGAGTAAAAACTTTTCAGAAATCTTTATTGAATGAGATAAAATGAAGCATCAAAAGTCATTTTTAAATAAATAAAAGTTTTAAGATGATGTAAACTTGTGTATAGATGTAAATAGTAGTGAGGGCAGTATCCAGATTAAAAGTTGGTTATTCTGGTCTAGTTTTCTTTCGTGTTTCAGAGTCTTGTTGAAACTTACAACAGAAACTATTTCTTGAGTTCTGAGGATAATCTAAACTTGCACTGAGGTGCCAATCACTGAAGACATCTACAAACAGGCAATGTAGGTCAGTTTGACCTATTTTTCAAACTTCATTGATTTTGATTCCAGTTTCATCACAATAATGAACATTAACTGTACCCATCTGACTGAAATACACATGTGCAGTTGAATAAATTCCCGTAATTTTGTTTGGTAGTATGCATTTATAAATATCACAAGTGTGTTTCATTTTAATGATTTATTAACTATCTGGAAACAAAACTACATCTAGCTTTTTATCATGACTGTCTGTAGGTATAGAGTGACATATTTGTTCATTAAAGGCTAAAGCAACAGTGTATGGTTTGTATCCCATGTCTTCACATTTCTGTAGATATGTATCATAATATCCTTTCCCTCGACCAAGTCTATCACATTCTGTTGTAAAACCTAATCCTGGCATTATTATCAAATCTAAACCTTCTGAAATAAAAACTCATATGTATCAAACAATGTAAACTTGTATGTAACACTATAATAAAACAGGAATATTTCAAAATTAGAATTTTTATATTTACCTTAAAATAAAATTTCCATCAAATTTTTTTTTAATACATGCATAAAAACTTATTTAATGTATCCTGATAACAGTTTTAAAAACTTTCCATTCAAAATAGAGCAAGTCCAAATTAAAGCAATCTTGTAAAATATTTGCCATTGATACTAAGTATGTTGGTATAGTATTAATGTTCTCAACCATTGTCATGCATTTCAAGGGCTTTTTGTAATTCTATCAGATATATTTAAGCTTGGGGATAATGCCAATTTTATCTGTAACCCTCAATCAGGCAAGACATGACAAAGATGTGCAAACAACTGGTATTTTTTTCAAATAACAGAAAATTGAAAAACAGAAGGCAAACATAACAGTAGGTAAAAGTCCCAATGCAACATCTTAGTAGAGACATAAAAAATATTGGCTGGACAAAATATGAGCTTATATTCTCACACACATTATAAATTCATCAATTCAAAAATAATGACTATCTCCTGCAGATGACTGTTGATGATTTACCTGTATCAAGTGCATCAGGTCTGACATCATGGTCTGCTGGTTGTTTTATTTTCCATTTTGTTTCAGGAAGTTCTGTATAGTCTTGCCATGATTTTAACCTGACCATTTTCATTTTAGGGCCAATGTATTGTGGTATGTAGCATTCCTTGTTCTTTAGCAAGTGTTGTAAAATAGCTACAGTCTGGATTTCATCTGACATATGTAAATATACAGAAACCTTCTTACTGCCCTGGAATTTTTCTAGAGATAACAACTGGAAAGTATGATTGATTTTGTTCATTTTAATATTCACATTTCAATTTATTCAATTTTATAGTGCAAACAATGTGACACAAATTACCCCAAGACTATGTTTAATAGACACTCAAGCACAGTGAATTAGGTCTAAACCAGAAACATGTCTAATAGGAACTTTTATATCAGAACATTTTTTTTTGTAATTTAATTTGTGTGACTTGTATACCTCTCGGTGTATAATCCAAAAAACATTCAGTCCTGTCTGTAAGAAGTTTGATTATAACAGGTTTCACTATACTAATTGATATTAGGCAACAAATTCATATTGGTAAGCCACACTGGGATACGTTTTCATATCTGTCACTTATCTACTTCCGGTTTGACGAATAAATTAATGTTCTTTACACTGATAAAAGTATAAGAAATTTCCCTTGCATCTTTCTCAGCAACTTAGGTTTATCATTGGTAATCTTAACCATGAGCTTATCTACTTTCTGTTGTTTGCTTGCACATTATTTGGTATATGTATTTCCTTTCACTCAAAATCAAGAGAATTAGCTCACACTACATCTTCTTGTATTCCATTTGCCAGTATCTATATTCATTCTTATTTAGTGTTGTTACAGCATTGTCCCAGGTAATGGAAGGGTTGGACACCCCCAAACATGTTTAATCCCACCACATTTGGTATGTGCCTTTCCCAAGTCAGGAGCCTGAAATTGGTTGTTGTTTGTTGCTCAATATATCAAATTTGTTTTTCGTTTATTGTTTTGTACATAAATCAGGCTGTTAGTTTTCTCATTTGAACTGTTTTACATGCCATTTAGGTGCCATTTATAGGTTGCTGTGTTGCATGGGTTTTCCTCATTGTTTAAGGCCGTACGATGAACTATGGTTGCTGACCTCTAAGTCATTTGGTCTCTGGTGTAGTAGCCTGTCCCATTGACAATCATACCACATCATTATTCTTTTACAATATTGACTTAGGTATTCAATTATATTATTTTTGTCCTAACAACTTAGTATATATCATTTGCTTTCATATGGTTATTTATGCCATATATTTCTCATCTTAATCTTTTCCAAAACCTATTCATGTCAACTGATTCTGGTACAAAATAATTATTTTGAATCCTTGAGTTGGATAATTTTTAAGCACATAACTAAGAATATTTGTCTTTAATTTTACCTTGTCTGTTACAATTTTCGATTGTCTCTGTTTTTCACTTTCTGTTAAACCTGCTACTCTCTGCTTAATTTCTTTCCTTAACAAACCCTTTGCTGCTTTTAAACCATTCATAGTATCTGCTGCATAAAGTGAAATAAAGAAATAGATTACTGAATGATTTTGTCAATGATAAGAAAAGAAGGGATTGATCTGGAGAAGATATATACATGAAACAATATTGATAAATATTTTTGATTTATGCAAATAGGATAGATACCAGATATCTATTTGTTTTCTATTTCAATTCACTGATTGATTCTAGAAAAAAATCTTGAAATAAAATATTCTGAAAAATATGTCAGCTGTCCTATATTTCATTTTCTAAAATTTCCTTATTGAGGCTAAAGAAAAGATAGGACACAATATGTAGATCAGCAATAAATACATTACAAAATATCAGGGGAGATAATTGTTTACTTAGTATATAATAAATACCCTGACACAGAGTTATTATATCACTGGTATTTGTTTGCCAGGCCATCATTTATGGGGGTCCATCAGTGAGCATATAATCATGATTATAGTTGCTCATGAGATAAGATATGTTTGAACTTTGTTATTTTATATATATATATACATGTATATACTTTATTCTGATAAACCGCTGTAGATACAAATATTTTGAGGTTGAGATATTTCTATATTAGGGGTTACCTTAAATTATTTAAAATGTATTGGATAGCTAATTTTTCAAGGATAAAAACCACAGGGATGTGTGATATAAGGTACCCTCTCTTATGAACATATTTTCAAGTATTTTTGTGAAATTGATACAGAAATCTCCTGGCAACAACATGTCCATTTCAAAGAGAATTCTATGAACTAATTTTGAAGAAACAAGAATTAAAAAATCATTTGAAGAACATATTTCAAAAATTTTATGTGCATTCTAACCAAATGCGCAACTTTATTGAATTTCTTTAAATTATATTAAAAGTATTTTGGAAGTATAAACAAAAAATGATAGAGTTTTTCTCAAGTCAAAAATGTAGTTTATATCATGATATAAAAAGTACACGTCACAGTGCTTGTTTACAAACTATCACCTGCTGGGGTCTGTAATAATAATACATTCTTCTATAAAGCTAAAACATGAAGCTAGCAACAATCAATCAATCTATAAAGCTAAATTAGCTAAGTTATCTCCCCTTATAAGTCAATTATTTTTTTAATTCTTGTTTTGCCAACAAATTTTTTTTTCGTATTTGAAATAAAATTACCAATATGATAAATCATATAAATGTTACTATTAAAATATAATTTCCATGATTAAATTTAATTTCTACCGCCAAATTTGCTAATTTAACATATATTTCAGATAAAAACAAACTATATGTAATACAAGATGACAGAACACTCTCATACTTCTTCAAGAAAATAAAACAAGACGATTTGCAGTTAGTCCAACCAATAAATACAAAAATGTGTGAGATGTTGTCCATTCCAAGTCCTTTAAACTCACGAAATAGTGTTGCTTACAGGCTGCCGTACATCACATTTGCCTTGAGCCTTCTCGAAAAACATTCTGTTCAAGCAAAAAATATTAATTTTAACTACATTCTTATAAGTAAATTACTCCATACTCATGTAATGTTAGCTTCAACTTTAATCCTGTAGATGTATGTAACGGATAATTCACCAAATCATAAATACACTTTTGAGGTTATACACTTGGGTTAGTTCCCTTTCATCATCTAACTGGAATATGTATGAAAAACCATCAGTGACAGCCCATAAAATCTTCACTTTTATAAGATTTTTACCAAATCTAATAATTTCAACAGTGGTTGTTACAGATGTAAATGTTGTCTTACTAGTAGATATATATGTTAAAATACCTTTCATAACTCAATGCATATTAAAATGTGTATCGGGACATTAACATGATTAATGATATGGTAAGATATTGTAAGAAGTTGCACACTAACTGGTATGTCATCCTCGTGCCTGGTGCAGAGGAGTTAGTACTATTTAAAGTGACACAACTGCAAGAGGCACCAAGGGACAATGCTAATTGACATGCCAAAGTGCACATATTACGAAAAGATAAAATATTACCAGTTTAAATATCACAAACAGAAAGGTAATAGAACTTATACGATGTGTCCTGTACCCCACCATGCCAACCTCGTGCCTAGTGCAGAAAGCCTGATTTAAATATTTATCTTTCAAGTTATATTTTGTCTTGATCAACTAACTCACAGACAGATATCAAGATATCAAGATTCTCTACATTAAGAAGCCATATCAGTTTTTGGCTAGGAATCAAATGCGTAAAGTTTGGGCATAGTGAGTTGATAGTGGAATTTAATCAATTTCTCTTATCTTGAGATGATGTACACGAAAATAAAAAAATGTTTTTCATCATCAACTTCATTTGAGGTGCACCTGAGACATATTCTGTCTTGTCGGAGAGTACCCTGATAGCGACCTTGTTCAATTCTTAGTCTGTGAGAAGAAATACGCAATCGAATGAAATTCCTCCTCTGCTCAGGTGATTGAAATAAAGTAAGATATCTTTCAAGACCAAAATGAGTCTTAAAAGTGCTATAGCTACACAGCTTCCCATCAGCACAATTGTGCATTTGTTTTCACCACTGTATTTCATAGTGCTGGTAAAAAAACTTTTTAAATAAAATTTTGAATCAAAAAGGCTAGACTGTCAACCCCATTAATTTTTTTTTTGCAAATAGTTTAAAGATCCATACCAAGAGGGAATTTTTGATTCAAATAATAGCTTTGACTCTAAATATGCATCTTTTAGTAATGGAAAGGATGAACCCAAATTTTCAAGCCGGTGCCAGTATCTGATCATAGATTTGGTGATATCAAAATGTAAAGAAATCTCCCAAGTTCTGAATGAGTGGCAAAGTTTGTTGCTCTTTTCCCCACACCTAGTAATAGTTTACAAAATTTCATATGTAATCTTTCAGAAAGAAGTTTAGGATAGGCTTGATCAACTGTAGAAGTCTGAGAATTTAATTTTTTTTGAAGGGATTAAAAAAGCCCCAAATTTCCGAACTATACAAAAGAATGGGTTTAATTGTATGATCAAATACGTGGAGGCTGTTTTTAATATTTGGATTCAGTGACAAGAAGTCCTTTCGTAGCTTGTAGTATGCTTTCAGTGCCTTATTGCACAATTCCTTCTGAGCAAAGGAAAAAGATCCTGATGCACTAAATGTTATACCTAAATATTTACAATGTTGAACACAATCTATCAACATGTCATTAAAATAAAAATTATGTTTTATATTCCTGCCTGCCTTGTTAAATACCATCACCTTAGTTTTTTTTTAGATTAATTTTCATACACCAATCTTTACAATAATTATTTAATTGATCAAGTTTACACTGAAGCCCCTTTTCCGAGGAAGAAAAAATGACAATATCGTCAGAATATAATAAACAATGAACTGGCTTTGAGTTAACCAAGACTGGATCAGGTGACTTTTCAAGATAATCAGAGAGGTCATTTATGAAAATTTTAAACAAATTTGGACTCAAATTATCTCCCTGTTTCACTCCCACCTTAGTTGGAAAAAGGTCTGTAACTCTATTCTTTAATCGAATACACGATTTACTCTGAGCATACATACTCTTAATTATATTATAAAAATTTGTACCCAGCCCGATGTTTAATAACTTGAGTTTTATACCTGGGTGAATTACGGTGTCAAAGGCCTATATATACTGACAAAGAAGTGGATTTATGCAGTCAATGAAATAGTGCTTAATTTTCTGGATTTGAGTTTGGAGCTGTGTACATTTTATTTTTTCTTCCCGGTGACCACGATATTTTTCTCTCAATATTTTGTACTCATAAAGATTTTGCCCGATTTATATGTTAACTGTAACTTTTACAAATAAGAAAATGCCGATACAAAAAAAAAACAGTGTACGCAATCTGTTTCATTTCCATCATTATTTTTACAGTTTGTTCTTATGATGTGCTGTTATACCACAGTCTCAGGTGATGCGATGGTTGAGCGCTCAAACACATGTTTAACCTCGCCACAATCTTTGTGTGCCTGGGCCCAAGACAATAGCCCGTAATTCAGTGGTTGTCGTTTTTTTGTTGTCTGTCATACTTGTTTATCGTTTATTTTTTGTAATTAATCTGGCCGTTCCATGTTTTATCGTTTGAATTGTTTCATATTTTGTCACGTCGGTGTCTCAGTTTATATAGCTGACTGTGCGGTCATTTGTTTTGTTCATTATTGAATGCCGTATGGTGACCTATAGTTGGAAAATCCACGCCATTTGGACTTTTGTGGATAGTTGTCTCATTGGCAATCATACCACATCTCGCTTATTTTGTAAAATTCTCATTAAATAAAATTATTTTACTATTCGATTTTTCTGTAATTAGATGATTTCTTTATACTGTACATTGATTTCCGTAATCGGTATTGTCTTACCTTATTGTTTTATTTTCCAGGGCTATTCTTTATAATTTTTCACCCAGCACTATGAGGGTCGTAATCATGGTAATGGGGGTACCTTCATGACGAATAACGGTAAAAATTCTTGCCAAATGACGTTAACGGTAGTTTTTGGTACATAGATATAGGAAGATGTGGTATGAGTGCCAAATGAGACAACTCTCCATCCAAGTAACAATTTATAAAAAAGTAAACCATTATAGGTCAAGATACGGCCTGCAACACGGAGCATTGGCTCACACCGAACAGCAAGCTATAATGGGCTCAAAAAATTACTAGTGTAAAACCATTCAAACGGGAAAACCAACGGTCTAATCTATATAAAAACGAGAATCGAGAAACACGTATGAACTACATAAACAGACGACAACTACTGTAAAATGTACACTTTCTTTTAGACGATAAAAAAATCTACTGATTTTGACGAATCACGTTAAATATTTTCCAAAAATAACGGTAACGATAATTATTTGAGACCTCTGACGAATCACGATAAGGATATTTTGACGAATCACGGTAAAATTTTAACCAATTTGACGCTAACGGTAGCCAAAAATGACCGCTTGACGCCTGACGGTGATGATTTTCTATTCTGAAAACCCAGCTATATCCTCTCAGTGTGTAAGCATCTATTTGCAAATATATTTACTAATATTTTATTTTATTTTTTCTATAAATACTTATGTTATAAAAAATAATGAAAATAACTGACTTTGTAATAGGATGGACTGACTTTGTAATAGGATGGACTGACTTTGTAATAGGATGGTATACTGTCTTACTATGTATTGTAAAATAAGGGGCAATAACTCGTATTATATATATAAGTAGAATGTCGCAGTGAGTCAGTCAATTGTTAGTAAAGTTTTTATATAATTCTTTATCTTTGATATAACATTTGACATCTTTATTTAAAGAAGTGAGCTGGCAAGGGTTCACTGACACTTATTCATTATATATGCATACCCATTAAAAAATACCCAAGAAGGAGGGTTTGCCTCCCCAGACTCACTGCAATAATGAAATCAGAAATATATATCAGATTATTTCTTGTATGGGAAAGAATTTGCATAGGCTTTGACTTTTGTCCAATTCCTTTGTTTAAATTAATTTAATTAACCACATCTCCTTATTTTTATATCAGATGCTTCAGAAGGCTTCGACATTACCAAATTTAAAAGCAATCGGAACATGAATATTCTCCAACCGTTTTTCATGACCGAATATTGAAGTATGAAAATAAGATTGTACACACAATTTTTCAGGACATACGATACACAACACCGACAACTTAAAGCATTGCCAGGAATACATGTATTGTCTTGAAACCTTATCTCATGTAATTGGTTTTTGCTATTCTGATAACCTAATGCTAGAGTTTTTTTTTATTTTCTGTTATCCAATCCTTTTGAATTGTAAAATAAAGCAAATTCTTCCAAATTATACAAAAATGTATTATTTCAAGACACCAAACATATATCTTTGGATTGGCATATCCAAATAGTATAATGAAGACACTTCAAAGACCTTTTCTCAACGCAAAATCAATTACTTACACGACTTACAGAAATACACAGTTTAAGAAAGCCCCAAAAGAGAGGGCTTCCTCCAACATTGAAAATTTCATGTACATACTGTTTTATTTTCCTGACAGAAATTCACGAATCAACAAACTAAAGTAAATTGACTTAATTTTAGTTTGTGGTAAAAGCCAAGTGCATGTTAAACAAATTGAAATAGTTTAAGATATTGAAATTAAAAAAAAAGTCTATATATAAGTGTGTGTAAGTACTAAAATGAATATATAAGTTATTTCGTTCATAGATTGACACAATTCTTTAACTGTTATATGCTGTTTATTCCGGCATCAATTATTATATCTCTTTTGATACTCAAACGTCTTACAGACCAAAATAGTAACACTCGATGAAAGGTTTACTCCTATAATTAGTTTCTATTGGGCTCATGCCATTTACCCTATATAAACTAAGGAGCTCTATGATAAGATGGTAAGCTAATATAAGCTTTTGTTGAAGCCTTGATTTATATCCGATTGTCTGATCGAAAGTTTATTTTACCGACAGTATAGGTAGTGCTATTGGTTTCACTACTT